ACGGTATCCTTTTACGCCCACCAGTTTGCGGCCTGTATCTTGGTTTTTGGCAAAATCGACATTCTTCCAGCTGATCATCATCTTTCCAAAAAATCATACAATTGTCAACACATATATCTATCATCTCAGAAGGTAGACCAAGACTAAAAATCAACTTCTGTATTTCATAGTATGTTGCCGCTGCCATATTATCCTCCGGTAGATACTCTTTCAGAAGATCAGCCCAATCATCCATGCAAACCTCAGCCAGGTTATGATCTGTTTTAATTGACATCATCCTAGCTGCCAACGATAATTTAGACAGGCCTTCTCTACATCCTTCGTAGATTGGCTGATTAGCATTGTCTAACAAATCATAAAATCGTTTGGCATCTACATTAGGTTCCTCAACAGCATTACCAGTATGCGTTTCATGAAATGCATCAGTCACCAGCTCATGCATCCTATCATGATCTAGACTTTGATCAGATTGATACTGATTAGGCTGATGACCATAATTCGATTCATCAAAATCAACATGACTTTGATAATTACTACTACTACCAGCATTCCCATGAGTATTACTGCTATATCCTTCTCCATGTAGATACCAAACAAAATATTGCGGCATAAACCCTCTATTTAATAAATGCGTCCACACAATTTTGGTTAGTGTATACCTCGTATTCTTGCATTTCAAACAAGGACAAAACATCTTCCCGCTATCTTCGTTCTCTCCATATTTGTAGCCTGATACATAAATATTTCTAACCCGTTCTTGAACTCTTCTGTCAACGCCCCATCTGAATCTTTACGCATATACATCCAGCTTCTTAGCTCGTATATAGACATCTTGAAATAAACTCAAAATACTATCTCTTTTTATTGATTAGACAATAAAAAAGCCGGTCTCTTGTGTCACGTCTAGCCACGTGAATGGAGTAAACCTTTTAATATTATTACCTTTTTTTTTCAAAGAAATAACTACTAATTCGGGTTTCCAGCAATGGACAGCCCAATATATCAGGATTTACAACACTATACTAAGGTTTAAGAGACCTACAATGGGTCTCCAGGATGATGATGCTCTTATGTTTGAATGATGATGTGTTGTGAATGAAAGAAGGAATGAAGCTCTATTTATAACAAAATTTCGGGCTTTACGACGCTTTCACGATGATTTTTTACATCGCTTTTACATTCAACAATAATATTACGATGATTTTACGTCGATTATGCGATAAAATATTTCATCGACATTAGTTAGGTAAACATGTTTTAAATGTTCTTCACCTAACTTCTTTATCGACGTAAAATCTTCGTAAGTGTACATCGAATACAGGTCGTCATATATTCGTCATAATGTTACATCTAATTTACGACGATTTAATATCAAATCTCTCATTATCGATGTATAATCGTCGTAATTCGTCGTAAATTGTACGTCGCAGTTACGACGATTTTTTTGTACGACGGTTTTCCGACGTTTTTTTTTTGACGTAAAATCGTCGTACAATCGTTGTAAGTTTGCGACGATTTTTAAACCGTCGTAATGGACCGTTGGAAAACGATTGTTTTCTTGTAGTGAAAATAACTTCTGTTTTTTTTTCAGATCACCTATATGTCTATATTTTACATCATTTAGATTGCATTATAGAGTCCTCATCATGTGTTCTCTCATGTAAATCGAGTCTTTAGGCGTTAAAATAGGACTTAGGGCTTGCATTAGGTCCCAAAGAGTTTTGCATGTTTTGAAGTCTTTATCAGGAGCTTTGGAGACCAATTGGAGCCTAAGAAGAGGAACAGAAAAGAAAACAGTGAAGAAAAGGGTCAAAAATGGTGAAAACCGCTTGGAGAAATTTCTCGGCCAAATCTTGTACCGGCTGGTCGGAAACCTCGGCCAAAATGTTTACCGGACGCTCATTACCGGCCAAAAACCTTACCGATCGGGCAGAATCGAGTATCGAGTGCAAAAATACCACGGGACAAGTTTTTGACCGAGGCAAAAAATTTTACGACCAAAAAGCTTACCGCGGTACACAGCCCTCGGCCATTTTTCTTACCGCGGGAAGGTTTTT